ACACAAAGCTGGTGAGCACCCATCATTTTGACACTGCCATCAGAAGATTCAATGTTAAAAGAAGTTACTCTCACTTGTGCAAAGTTGTTGTTGTCTTAATGAAATATTCCAGTAAGTGACCAAGATCCCAAGCTTGTATGAAAGCTTTAAAATAAAGTATGCAAATGTGTGAGCTTTCAGTTGATGTTTAAGTCATTTTACACACATGTAAGAACTCAACATACTGTAGACCAGTTGGAAAATTTCTGAGTATCCAGCACGTATATTTCCCCACTAGCCCTTGTTTAGCTTAGCTTGCAGTAAATTGTGCCCCAAAGTCTTATTCCAACTGATCAGGAATGTCAGAGAGCTCCTCTTCCATAAAAACCCTGCCCTAGAAGCTTTCACTAATGTAGTTTCTTTGCTTCCGAAGAAGCAGGGAGTACTGGAGTGCTTTCAAATAGCAGCTCTACCCAGCTATGCCTCCTCCAATCCCACATCCCCTCCTCCTCTATTTTAAAGAGAGTTTTGAAAAGGATCTTGCAGTAGCAGTCAACCATGGCCAAAGGCAAAACCAGTGTTTCTCTCTCACGATCTTTCTGTCAAGAGCTGGAGAATACATCAGGTGCCATTAGGAGCAACCCTTTTGATATGAATGCTCCTTCTTGACACTGGGGAATCAACAAGGTATCAAGGTGACCCACCATTGGGATTAATCAGAGAATATGCAGGAAAAAAAATATTTTCCAACACTAGCTTATGAATCCATCTTCTGGGTTAAGTGGAGGGTGAGAGAGGGAAAAGATCTCAACCCCTCAACACTTGCCTCTTCTAAACTGGACTCTTCTGGCTGATGCCTTGTTTCACTTTCTAGCCAATGCAAAAAAATCCCTTTGGCTTCAGTGTGAAAGATCGTCTGCTTACAAGAAAGCAACACAAAGATCTATGAACTCTGAACAAAATTGTTAAGTTCCAGGGAGCTTGAAAGCAACTGGAGGTTGCCCCAGACTCAATGATAGAGTACACACACAGACACAGACACAGACACAGACACACACACGGTATGGGGAACCTCTGGCCCTTCGGATGTTGCTGGACTACAACTCCCATCAGCCCCAATAAGCATGGCCAATGGCCAGGCATGGAAAAAATTGTAGTCCAGAAACATCACACTTTCCTTACCTACCTTTCCTCCAGGAGCTCAGAAGCTGCAGATATGAATAAAAGCATAAAATGCTGTGCGTGAGATGCTATTTAAGCCATTTGACAGCAAGCAATGGAGAAGGCCTATTTGGATAACACAGAGATAAATTTCCTCTTTCTTGTTAAGTAAGAAGTTTCCAAGACTGTACCCAGAGGGAAAGCTATTCCACCGCAGTGAGATTCAAAAAGGTTCCCTTGTTTATGTGGAACCATTTTCACTGAAGTATTCATACCTCAATTGTAGAGCAATTGCTTTGCATGTACAGTATAAAGATTTAGGCTCAATCTTTATCATCTCTAGTTAAGAGGAATCAGGTGGCAAGTGATGAGACAGACCCCTGCCTGAGACCCTGAAGAACTGCTGCCAATCTGAGAAGACAATACTAGGCTAATCTGACTTTATATAAGACAACTTTCCATGTTCTTAACAACAAAGTCTATGCATGTCAGTTCAGAACTAAGTTCCACTGAGTTCAAAGCAGTTAACCCCCAGCTAAGTGGTTATAGGATTAAATCAACAGGGCTTGAAATTTATTTTACAAAGGTGGAGCAAACTCTAAAAATCCTGAGTTCTATACTACATGTTACAAAGGCCACCACATTTTGTAATTACACCTATGCTAATAAAATAGGCTGATTGAAGCTACTCCAGGGTTCTTATTTTACATATTTATCTGGGTCCAATATTACCTCTGAATGTACAAACTGGAAGTTACTTATATGTAATGGCACAGTAGGGAAAGTGAAATTTACAAAAATAAATGAATTCCACCAGGTACAAGAATTCACATTAAATGTAACCTTAAGTTTTGAAAATAAAGTCAGGTTCCCTAACTATGAAGCAGATTCCCAAACTGCTGCCCACTGGCTCAACCATACAGTGGTACCTCGGGTTAAGAACTTAATTCATTCTGCAGGTCTGTTCTTAACTTAAAACTGTTCTTAACCTGAAGCACCACTTTAGCTAATGGGGCCTCCTGCTGCCGCTGCTGAACGATTTCTGTTCTCATCCTGAAGCAAAGTTCTTAACCCGGGGTACTATTTCTGGGTTAGCGGAGTCTGTAACCTGAAGCGTAAGTAACCTGAAGCGTATGTAACCCGAGGTACCACTGTATTTCATAAAACATACCAAGTTTTGACGGAAGTAGCAAGGGTACATTTAATCCTTAGCAGTACTGCTGAGAATTCAACAACTGCAACATTAGAATCAATTGATACATTCAGATCTAAAACCAAGGTGAATGCCTCAATATGCCAGGAGATTTCTGGAAGTTTTACAGATATATGAGAGTTCAACACAGGTGGAGATAAAAACATAAGTAGAAGCAGTTTGTTGGCATAGTGTATATGGAGGTGGAGCATAACAACAGGCAAGTCTGAACTATAGCTCAGAAGACCAAGCTATTAGAGGAAGAATGTATCTGATACTGGGGGAAATTTGCTAAGATTTAATCCTAAGAACATAAGAAGATGCTGCTGGATCAGGCCAATGGCTCATCTAGTCCACCATCCTGTTCTCACAATGACTAACCAGATTCCTGTGGGGAACTTGCAAGTAGGACATGAGCGCAACAGCTCTTTGCCTACCTGTAATTCCCAGGAACTGGTATACTACCTCTGACAGTGGAGGTACAACATAGCAATTATGGCTAATAGTTGTTGATGATGGTCTTGACCTCCATGTATTTGTTTAATCCTTTTTTAAAGCCAACCAAGTTGGTGGCCATCACTTCCTCCTATGGGAGACAGCTCCATAGTTTAACTATGTGCTATGTGAATAAGTACTTTCTTTTATCTGTCCTGGAATCCCCAATGAAATAAATGGAACTATAGTGCACTGTTACATAGGCATGTCTTTCAGATGTCAGCGCAGCCTAGTCCCAACAGGTTAACTTTTGCTCAATAGAGTCTACTGCCGCCAGTATCAGCCAACTCTAACACCATCAGATTAGCATGAATATGTAAGAGTAGCCTTGATTAAGTTACTCCCCGCCTCTGAAATTCATTTGGTCCCTTGCACCACTTTGTACAGTACACTACTTGCCCAAAGCCTGCAAAAGAGTAAGTTAAGGAGCACACAAGGTCCACCTGTTTTCATGGTAGGAAAGTTTGAAAGTAAAATAAGAAACAGAATGTAACCTATAAAACAGCTTACAGTACTGTGGTTATTTAGAGATGACTCATTTGCATTAGAAAGTGACAGACGAATGACAAATGGGCAAGACTTTAGAACTGTGTTTTAAAATATATGTGGGTGAGGGATACTAGTTTGGAATACACTTTTAGGTTTAAATGACTATTCAGACAATCACTACAATACTTGGAGCCCAAAAGAATATTTTTTGGGGAAATCAAGCAGAATTCTAACTATTACAGCAAAACAGCAATGATGGCCACTGACAACATAGAAGCATTAGCTACATCAAGATGCTGCACCAACTATGGGCTAGCATAATATAATTATAGTAGCATGGGTCTATTATTTCACTTAAATCTCCACTCATGGACCACCTCATTCTGTAAAGAACATGTAACTGTAAATAAATGGTCAGAATCAAAGCTGGTTAGCTATGACCAATACCCCTCCTCTCCCCATTTTATAAGGCAGTTCACTAGTGTGATGCAATTATGACTTATCCGTCAAGATTACCCAGGATTGCTTGGGCAACTTGCTATCACTCACCCTAACCTACTTTGGAGAAATAAATCTAACAGGCCCACCAATTTCACACTAGCAACCTCAAGCATGTTCTCAACTGCTCAAATTAAATTGACAGCATATATTCAGAGAAATATATTTTAAAACAAGGCATATAAAGTAATATGCAAATTTCTGGTATATTCCCTTTGTGAAAGAGTTCTTTTCTTAAAATAAAACCGCAGGAGAACCTTCAGGAAGCTATAGAGTCAAAGTAGTAATAGACTTCTCTCCTTCAGGGCTGGGAGATCCCCCTCCCCCAAACCTTCTTGGATTATACATGAGGATGTATAAAGGAAGATCTCTACAACCTCCGGAATTGCGTGGCCCAATTTTCTGGCAATTTTTGAGAGCTTTCCCTTAAAGTATTACTTCTTTTCCACCTTTAAGAATAGTATCTGCACAAAGATAATCAGGACTAGGTGGTAGCGTCGAGGCCAAAGTCATGACTGGGGGTATGAATGAGATCGTGAAGTCTCCCCCCTTCCTTGACACCATCCTAACTTTACGAAAGGACCTTCCCCGGTAAAGGTGAAAAGGGGAGCCCCGCGTGAGCTCCTTCCCGGTTCCAGGCCGGGCGGGCGGGCAAGGCGAGCGAGCTCGGGCGTCCCCGCCTGGCGCTCTCCCGCGCTGCATGGCGCTGCAGCTCAGCCTGCCTTGCAAGAGGGAGCTCGAGTCCCGATCTTGAGCTCGCAGCGCCTCTCACTCCGCAGCGCGCACAGCGAGGCGGCGGCCGGCGGGAGCAGGCGGGCAGGGACGGGCAGCGCGGACACGCAGGACCATCGGGGGAAAAGGACGCGGACGGAGCAGGCCGGGGACGGTCAGCTGGGACGGGACGAGGACGTCCGGGCATGGGGAGGAGGGAGAGAAAAGCAGAAGCGGAGACGGGCAGGAATCGACGCGGGGCGGAGGCGACCGGGCGGAACGAGAAGCGAGCCAGAAGAGGCGGGAGGTGGCAGGATTAGGCCGCAGGTTAATGGGGGCGGCTCGGGAGGAGCTGGGAAACGGGGGGGGGGGGAGGAAACCCAATCGACTCGGCCAGGATCAAGGCGGGCGGGTGGGTGTTTTGAACAGAGGTTTTTGGCGGGGACAGGAACGCCCGGGGTTAGTCGTTTCCATAATGGCGGACGAGTTAAATAAAAACCGAGTCACTCCAACAGGCCGTGGTTGGCGGCGGCGGAGAGGGTGAGGCGGCGGCGGGTTGGGCAAGGCCGAGCTAAGCAGCCGCGCCTCTGTCTATTTATCCAGGCCCGGCCTGGTTCCGGCAGAGGCGCTGCTCTGGGAGGCCGATGGGCGGCAGTACCAGGCCGGCATCAGGGCGATGGGGACGGTAGAGGGAGACAAAGCCCCGCTCCCCATCGGCGGCGCCGCGGCGGGTCCCAGCCCGAGCCCCATCGTGACACCTAGAGGCCGGAGAAAGCGACTGCAAACCCCCCGCGCTGCTTACCTGTCCCGGAGGCGCCTCCGGGCCGCCCCTGCTGCCCCGGGCCCCGCCCCGCTCGGGCCCTGCGGAGCTCCTACTGCCGCTGCCCCGCCGCTAGCGGCCGCCGCCAGCGCCCAGCACCAGCTCGCGGTTTAATCGTTCCACAGTCGCCTCGGACACAAAATGGCGGCCGAGAGGAACAGTGCGCCTGCGCCAGCCCGGCAGCCGCGGCCGCCGAAGCCGAGCGAAGGGAGGAGGGAGCGGGAGAAGCGGCCGCGCGGAGCACCATGGGAGGAGCCGCTGGGCGCCAACTTCAAATAGAGGACCTAGAAGGGCCGCGGCGGACGTGAGGGCGGGTGGCGCTGTGACGTCACGCGCGGCCTGGGCCGAGGGTGCAGAGCACTTGCACGTTGCAAGCGCGGGCAAAGGGATTGGTTCCGCGGTGTGGCGCCCTCTTGAGGTGACGTTGGCCCTGTTGCCACCTGCCGAGAAAGGAATATCTCTGTCAACGGGCGGGGGTGTCACGGGCGTCGTGTTGGTATAATCAGGAGCAAATTGGTGCAAACGTGTCCAGAAGCAAAATAGGCGTGCTTGGATATGTAAGTTAACTGCAGCTTGTCAGAGGCAGTTTGTGATTGCACACCTTTGCCTCAAAATAGAGATGCCACTTATTTTTATATTAGGATTAAACCTTTAAGAATCCCTTAGTAGGCAGAAATTCAACAGGCAAAGCTGCCACCTGTCAGTTTATAACTGTGGTGAGAAATACTGCTGTCCTTTTCAATTTGATGCACAGCCATCAAAGCCCTGATACCCAAAAGAGCAGGGGGTGGGGTGGGATCTACAATCTTTTAAATCTTTTAAATTTTTAAAGATCTACAATCTTTAAAAGTCATGGGGATGTTTGCTTTACACATCTCATTTGTCTTATTTGAAAGGCATAGTAAATTGAATTGACCCTAACCAGGGAAAGGGTCACAACAGGTGGGTTGATGTCCTTTCAAAGTCCTTACAGTATTTGTTAGGATATGTACCGTACATGGAATGTAGGTAAACTAACTGCAACCCACCCCAATTCTTAGTGAAGGGTTCCCGCCTCCTTGAAATGTCTAAGAGGAGAGCAGTTTGTAGTTGAAAGTGATTATCAGAAATTCAGCAGAAAACGTACTAAAGAGATTTGCTTGTGTCCCATTCCACATTCAGGCAGTTAGATTTTACTTTAAAATGGTGCTTGGTTTCTAAAATGGGAAGTAGCTCTATCTAGAATCCCCTTACCTGTCCTTATGGAGCCAGTGGATTATCGTTATTCAGAGTGTTCCTTGCTGCATATGTAACATGAGTGTAGTGACTATAATATGTTTGGTGGTTGTTTTTAAACACATTTCTTCTACTTTAATAGTATTTATATACCTCCCCTCACCACCAAAATATCCTCTATATATCTCTAATCCCTATTCTTTAATTAATCCTAGTTCTTTAATTGGAGCTGTGGTAATTTTTGTGGCCTTGCAGCAGAAGGTGCCATCTTGAAGGGAAACAGAGTTTTCTACAAAAGAACAGTTCTCTCCTAGAAGAAATCAACATTTTTTTTTTATTAGTTACATTTATATACCACCTTTATCTTCCAAGAATCTGAAGGTGGTGTACATTGTACTCTTCCCCATTTCATCCTCACAAAAACCCTGTGAGGTAGGTTAGGCTGAGAGGCAGTGACTGGCCCAAGGTCACCAGTGAGCTTCATGGCTTTCACTATGCATCTGTCACCTGTCTTCCTCTCTTGGCAAAAAAGAGGATGACTATGTCTGGGTCCAACCCTTTATCTCCAGTTCCAGGGCAACCATCAGGGTCCCAACATCACTGATACCTGCCCTGAGTTCCCCTTTGTTTTTTGTGGGCCAACACAACACCCCTGACAAAGTGCTGTTACAAGGTATTGAGGGAAATTAACATGGTAGCTAGTCCCTGCCATCCAGCATTGCTGAAAGCATCACTGTTGCTGCTGCCAACCATTACTGACAGGTATGCCTGCTAGGGCATATTGACGGGGGGTAGGGCGGGCACTAGAATGAAGAATGCATAGGACCACCCCTACCTGGGGCTGGCCCTTTCCAGTTTCCTCTCAAATGACAGCTTCAGGAAAATCTCCCCACTTCCATCTGCTTACACCAGCTAAAAACAGCTAGGGAAAGATTTAATGCTGAGCATAGGCAGTGATCCTCCATAAACCTGCTGGCCAAGAAATCCCCAAACATCTATTTCTGGATTTGCTGGATGGCCATTTTACTCTTGGTGGACCTCATGGGAAGCATGACTCAATTCTTCCCACTAGAAAACCAGACAGCAGCAATGATAGATGTTGGAAATCGTTTGCCTTGTATGAATTGTCTCAGGCTTTGCAGGTGCCTGTGGGTACTTTAACAATCCCGTAGTTAACAGGGTAGCAATGTTAACAGAATGTGTGCTCTCTCTCAAAAGGTATTTTATTCTTTGTATGGGAGAGGCAGGTACAAGTACAGCTGAACGTATGTAGCTTACACTGATTTCTCCTACATCACAACTTGTATGTGGGCAGTGGATAAATAAATGGAGAGCAGAGAAAACCCACTGCAAAAATATCTTTTTAAGCCTTCCATTTTGCTTATTGGGCTCTGGGAATGTTACATGAAGTCCCTGGGCCTTCCACATCCTTCCCAGAGGGCAGTAAGAGAGGCCAAGGGCAAGGCTGCTGTAGACAGGGATGGTCATGGGGAGAGCAGTTCCAGAGGTTCCTGGCTTTACACTATTTTGCATTTGCACGAGGACCCCTGAAACCAAACCCTCATATAAGCTGCCAGTTACCTCTACACAATCACAGGAACTTCCACCTGAAGTGGTATAGTCCAGACACTAGGTCTAATTCAAAAGTTATACATTTCATCATAGTGGCAGGCTAGGGAAGCAGCTTAGGGCACTTTCAATACATTTTAGTGAAGTAACCATGTGGAAATGAAACCCAGGGACGTGCCAACAAGAAACTCCAACGAAACAATTATGCAGGGCAAATAGCTGGGTCTTTGCAGGAGTGAAATATTCCTCATCAGGGAGAGGGAGACTGTGGCTTCCAGGTGTTGTTAGATGGCTAAATGCCCTCTGTCCCAGTCAGTATGGCCAATGGTCAAAAACTATGATAGTCTAGCAACCTCTGGAAGTACAGGGGTTCCCCATCTCTATGCTAAAGGGATCCATTCAAGCTGAGGATCTCAAGACACATCATTTTGATGTCACAAGCCAAGGAAGAATTAATTTAGGAACAACCTTGGTTTTAATTTACTTTACATCCATATATCCTGGGGCTTTCCTCAATAAAGAGCTCATTTTGCCCAGTGACTCTAGGTTAATGTAAGTCGGACATGTTTATGCTAGTTTCTGGGTGTAGGAGCTTTTTGGAGTCACAAGTGGTACAGGGATATTCATGGGCACATGCATATTTTTATAAGCGCATTTACCTAACCTGTATTTATCCACTTTCAAAATGTATTTTCTGTTCTTACCTAACAGCCTATATGCAGCTCTCATTCAGGCATTGATTCAAAAACACTGCATCAAGTGCTCCCAGACAACTGGAGGAATGTTCTTATTTTCTTACGGGCAAACTAGATGAGATTCTATCTACGCAGTTTACAATTGTGTTACTTTTTTTTTAAAAGTAAATGGCAGACATAAGTCCCCTGACTTTAGCCCTTTGCCCTCCCCCTATATTTCTGATCCATACTCGGGGGGGGGGGCACATACCTGCATTTAAATGTAAAAAAATGTGAATTATGTTGCATCTTGTTCAGCACCTTTGCTTCTTTTCAGATTGCAGACACATTGAGCTAATGTTTTCAGGAGACATCCCCAAAGAATTCTCAGCCTAGGTTATCTCAAGAATCACCTTTCTTCATATGAAACCTGTCTTAACATCTTCGTCTTCTGAGGCCCTGCTCTAAGGTCCCTCACCACCACAGGGCCTTTTCAGATCTGGAATAACATGCCAAGGGGGTTCACCTGCCCCCTTTGTTGTTTGCTTTCAGATAGGCAGGAACCTTTTCAGATTACTCTCCTTGAATTTCATCTTCCTGTTAACTTTTTAGTGTTTTGCACTACAATCCTATACCTACCTAAATGAGTGTAAGCTGTCTTGAACTCAGAGGGGCTTACTTTTGACTAAAAAGATGTAGGTTTGTACTGTTAATATCTTTAAGATTGTTAGTTTGGCAGCTTACGTTTGCTGCTGTATTGATCCCCTCCCCAAGAAGTTGAAAGTCAAATGTGAGGCTTCAACTGTGTCAGTTTTATTTCTGGTGTACAAGTTATTCTCTTTAACTGATATCCAAACACACAAACATAGTACCGAAGAAATATTTTCATGTTCCTTTTGCTGTCCAGTTTGTTAAAAGTTTAGAAATACGTTGTCAGAACATGACAGTTTTCAGAGATCCAGAGGGCTCCAATAGGAGAAGAGACTTCCTTATTCACTTTAATGCTAGTGTGAATTTGCTGTATTGATTTATATCTATCTATCTATCTATCTATCTATCTATCTATCATATTCAGAGAACCTTATTTAACAAGGCAGGGTATGAATATTGAACATCGATGAATAATGGTTTCCATTTCTATTTTCTGTACTGCAGGAAGGACAAGGATGACTTGTTGCCTGTGGTCTTCAGCATCCCCCTTTCACTCCTGGAAAGAAGCTCAGTCCATCTTCCTTTTTATTTCACCACCTGTAAAACCACTGAAAAACCTCAATGCTGTACTTTGTTGACTTGAGTTACCTAAGGTGTTTTTGACCACTTGAGGTTTCACAACACCTCGCTCCTTCCCAGTTTGGTTAGGGAAACTCCACAGCAGCAGTCACAAAATGATGTACACCCAACTCACTTGCTCAAACTTCTTTTTATTTCAGGCTTAAAGTCAAAATTAGCCAAACCTCTTGATAATTACATTATATATATTTATATATCTATGTAGATATACAGATAAAATTATAGAGATTTTATAGAAAAGACTTTTTGCTTTTGTCTGCAACCTCCCCCCCCCCAAAAAAAAATGTGTAAATAAAAATAATAAAATAGCCAAAGAAGTGGCAGCGTTTGTCTATCCATGTTGCTTCCATCTGCCACAGCACCACTGTTAAAAACAATCTGTCCTTTCTTCCTCCTCCACTGGGAGGTGGGAAACTCCCTCCTGTAATCATTGTGCATTTTCTTTCCCCCCCACCTCTCAGAACCGAGAGAAGAGTTTGCAGCTCCTCAGTAGCAGAATATACCTGGTCCCAATTTCCTGCAGTATTCACAGCCCCAAAGGGTGGAGGACATGGGCAAGCTAAGAACAAGTTGAACACTAAGTGGGACTTCAAGAACACACAAAAATTCTTCCAAGTTTGTCTCAAATGGGAGATGGCTTTAGCAACTGAGACTTTCTGCCATGGCCATAATGCTCAGCTGTTGTTTTTCTCCAAAATGTGGCATATTGATCCTGGCGAATGGCAGAGAGCCATACTCAATCCCTCAGCCCTGTGGGCTCCTGTAGGAAAAAAACAAGCGAATCTCTCAGTGTCTTGTACTCATGTTAGTTCCATGAGTGAAGCAGCCACTGGGGCTAGGAAAAGGCATCCTCCACATAAGACAGCGTGTGGGTGATGCTAATACTGCAGTGTGTGCATGTGCTTAGGGGCAAAGAGCTGCCCAGTCTATGGCACACTAGTCTGACCCCAGTCTGTGTGACTTGGTTGAAGTTCTGTGGCATGCAAAGTCTGGGTCCCAAAAGGATCTGGCTGGTCAGTTTGTGTGGCACCCTTCAGAACGCAGTGCTGGCCATGCTCCCCGGGGCAAAGATTCGGGGCAAACTGTCAAGAGACTCTTCAAGACGTCGATGAGCAGATTTCCCATCTTCTCCTGCAAGCAGATAAAGCAATCAGCTGTTATTTAGGATATGGTTTGCCCCAGCCTTGCACATGTCTACAAAGTCAGACCATAAAATTTCCCTGTAATCTTCCTTGGCAACACACTGGCCTGAAAATGGGTGATTCCCTCCCCCACCCAATTTCATAAAACTTCATTGCTTGGCTGCCTAAGGGTGATCCAACCAGCTGTGTGGCTACACTTATAAGACTACACTTCCAAAATTAATGTATGGTCAATATTGTTTGCTGATGATGGTCCATTCATATTTTCTTGAATGTGAACCCAATTCCCCAACCAAACAATGAAGACTGATGAGGCTATATGGTTACTGACAAGAATTTACCCTTGTAGGAATGGTCAGTTGATACATCTGAAGAGCTCATTTAGTACCTTTTGAACACCATTGGTTTCCAGGTGCCCTTTTCTGTCCTGAGTCAGAGTCATTTAACAATTGTTGTCCTGCTTCCTCTGCATGTTCAAATTGGCGCATGACTGCACTATTCTATTTGAATTTGCCCTTCATTTTGTACCTGTGCTGATCTTTGCTTGTTTGCAGTACTTTAGAACTTGTAAATAAATACCCTCCGCAACAGGCATGATGCTTTAAGCAGAACTTGAAAGGGAACATAAGAAGAGCCTGCTAGATCAGGTCAATGACTCATCTAGCTCAGTATCTTGTTTTTACAGTGGCCAACCTGATGCCCACGAGAAGCTCCACAAGCAGGACCTGATTGCAACAGGTCCCCCCATTCAGGCACCTGGATCGACACAGTTTTTGTGGCATTGCAACTGCTGACAATCCCCTCCTGCTGCACTTTGATGGTCTGCTAGTGGGTCTGTGAAATGGGTGGTGTAACCCCCACAAAAAAACCTTTTAAATTATTAAAAACTATTATCCAGATTTCATTCCATTTTAGAAAATTTACAGGGTGCCATGCCAGATCCTGTGGATCTCACCCCACTCCATAACAAATGCAACCAGCTCTGTGCCAGTGCTGATTCCTGGGCTCCTAGTTTCTAGTGATAACGGTTGGTGTGTGTTCAAGCTTCCCCCTGAAACATATCTTCCCAATCTGGGGCCTGCAGTTGCAGCATATGAACAGTAGGGGAAGCCAAGGGTGTAGGCAGAAGCTCTCAAGAGAGCTGCTGTGAAGGATGTCCTGCTCAGTGAAGGGTGTGCTTGGCCTTGTAACTGGCTATTGCAGGGATGGGGGCAAGAGGCCTTTTCACCCACCATTGGTAGCAGAAAACCCCAGGGTGCAACTCAAAGAAATATGCCCTACGACAAGAATGTTGTCATTCCTGGCAACATAGACACCAACAGGCCATCACCCTAACCTTATAGTTATACCCCTTTCAGCTCTCAGAAGTTAGTCGCCCATCACTAATGGAATGCAGGAGGAGCCTAAATAGTGCACCTTTGAGAAGCCCTTCATCTTCCAGGTGTTTCGAGCTTCTTAAAAACAAGACACCTTTAGCTGGGAAGGCAGGTTTCATTTGGAAGAGATGAACTACACGCTTCTTGTTAGTGCCAAGCCCCTGATCTAAAAGGCCTGTCTGGGTAGGAAAGTGGAACTTGCTTTGCATGCAGAAGATCCCAGGGGTGAGTGCTTGGCATCTCTAGTGGAAAGATCAACAAGTAGGTGATGGGAAAACCACAGCCAGATACGGGAGAGCCACTGCGGCTTCAGAATAGCCAATACTGCGGCAAGATGGACAAGCAGTCTGACCTGGCAGAAGGCAACTTCCTATGTAATCTGGATCATAGTCCCTCAACAGGTGTGCCATTCCCTTTGCAACAGTGACAAAGACACAGCCAGAACACAAGCGCACTAGGAGGAGTGAGCTGAGACAAAAGACCTGACAAGATAAAGACCAACAGGGTCCAGGACAAGAGACACCAATAAAGCATGCAGCACAGGGGGAAGGGGGAAGAATGGACTGGCCAACACATCCCGACCTGTGCAGCTGCTGTCATGACCCGGAAGTCTAGTTAGCCAATCAGATGGTTCTCTCAGTGCCATCTAACAAAATGATAAACAACAACTGCTTAGTGCTTTCCACTCTCAATGTTCCATATCAACTCTCCCTAAGTGAGCAGCAGTGTAGGGCCAAGAGGGTCCTCTGTCCTATGCTGTGAACACTAGCAAGGAATAGGTATGGGGTATTTAAGAGCATAAATCTATGGCCAAACAGGCTAGGAGTTCTGCCTAGCCATCTAGTATAGAGTGAGCACCACATGGAGCCAGACCCCACCCCTCAACAAGCCACAAGGCAGGAGTGGACAACCGGCAGGGTGCGCTGCCTATAGCCTTTAGCCTGGTTTCCAAAGCCCTCTGCAACCTACTGGTTTAAATTTTTGGAAGAAGTGATCTGTCTCTTTCTGAATGGCCTGTTGAGTAGCAAGAGGGGGTGGGAGGGAGAAAGAATGAAAAAGGTAGCCCCACCCACCTCAGGCTCTGGCCCTGCACACTGCTGACTTTAGCCCCAATGGATTCCCCTGAGAGAATGTCCCCCTTGATGGTTGTCAACCACTGTCATAAAGGGAGCCACCTGCCCAGGTGAGACGGGAGAGAACTATGTCTGAAAACAAGGGGAGGGAAGGCACTCACCACACAGCATTAGGCTCTGTTTGGCTGCCTCTCGTACAGCCTCTTTGTCCGTTTGGCACAAGTACACCAGCTGCTCAATACTCTCCTTGGCCTATTGGAGGAAAATGTAAAAGAAGCTGATGTTATCAAGTTTTAGCTCCTTCTCTAAACGGAACCCCAAAACCCAAAGCTACAAATAAGGTGGAGGACCAATACACAAATACTGGATATTGAAGCCCACTGCAGCCCAGACAGTTGCTCAACCAAACCTTGTGGTGTGCAATCACCAAGAAGGCTTCCCTCCCTTCCATACAACAAAGTCTTGTTTTAAATGATCAGGTACAGAGGGTGAGATACATCCAGAAAACTCCTGAATGTCAGTTAGTAAATATATTAAAAGCAGACCTTTGAGAAAAGCTTCCATCTAGCCCTCACCTTAAGGCAGCCCAGAGCTGCGCAGGCTGCAATCCGCGTTTGCACCTCTTCATCCTCCAGCTGCTCAAGGTAACAGACCAGGGCCTGGGAAAGACACGTCAGTCAGCCTGCTTGTGCCCCCTTTCTGTACACCACACACCTTTTGTTTCTTGAGACAGATGGGTGGCAACAAACAAAACACCCAACTAAGAAATCAGCAACCAATGACTAATAAGGCACTCTCAGCTACTTCATGAAACTGCAACTCCCAGAATTATTCAGGAGGAATCAAGAAAGTTTAATTGCTTCCAACATGCTTTAGCAATCTGTAGTGTACGCGGGTGGTGCTGTGGGTTAAACCACAGAGCCTAGGACTTGCCAATCAGAAGGTCGGCGGGTCGAATCCCCGTGACGGGGTGAGCTCCCGTTGCTCAGTCCCTGCTCCTGCCAACCTAGCAGTTCAAAAGCACGTCAAAGTGCAAGTAGCGGGAAGGTAAATGGCGTTTCCGTGTACTGCTCTGGCTCGCCAGAAGCGGCTTAGTCATGCTGGCCACATGACCTGGAAGCTGTATGCTGGCTCCCTTGGCCAATAAAGCGAGATGAGCGCCGCAGCCCCAGAGTCGGTCACGACTGGACCTAATGGTCAGGGTCCCTTTACCCTTTACCTTTAGTGTAGCTGCACTTGAAACCAGGCTATCTCCTGATCAATAAATCCCCTCCTAACAATAGGACCAG